ATAATACCTTACGGTCCGTGTAACATGCTCGTCACTTTCGATAGGCTAATGGAGCTTACATCGATAGGGTTGCAATAGGAGAGGCAACTAACCCATTTTGAGGATGTTTTTCTGTTTGGCTACACATTTGAACCTGCTGATGAGAACCTGGCAGTTGTCCCACTGGTTGTCTGTTCCACTGGCAGTTTTCCTACTCTGATTACATTGATGACTCTTGAACGAAAGAGGTGTTTGCAGTTAAGGTAGTTGTTAAACATTAACATCATTAATTGTACTGTTAAAAGTTCATTTTTCATTGAAGTGGCTCATGAACTTTTGGAAGAGATGATAACATAGTAGATTATAATGCTACAATAGTATGACTGTACAGAATGTGAGGGTAAATGTAGAGGCACAAAATAACACATGCATGATGATGCTTTGAAATTGACCCTTGCTTGTACTGAAAATGTATCTGAAAGAAGTCTAGTGAAGGTGGGATGTCTACACTAATGAATTTCAATTGTTAGAAGATAAATATTACTGCTTGTACAGTGTTTCAGTTGTCTGGACCTGCAACAAGGAAATGCTGACAGACTGTTTCATTGAGAAATAAGAGACCATCCATTTATTGAATGTCTTGATCATGGACACCATGTGGAAGTTAAAACTATTTTTACAACAGTGAAATAGAATGACAGAAGATTCCACTAGTGGTTGGATACCATGATTTATGCTTTTAGAGCTCTGGGAAGAGCAACTGAAGGACACAAATCTAGCAAGGTTAATGAAAATTGAGGAATGTAGCATAAATGCACATAATCTGTGACACATGTATGAGCAGTTACAAGTGCAGTAAGGTGGGCTATACTATTGTTATAAATCACAGAAACGTGGTTCTCAAGCAACTAATGATCTTCAGACTTTTTGTAATGTAAGGAGTGGTAGCCTCCAAGGTGTCATAGGTACGTGAGCGAACATACAGTGATGATTCTACTGACCACATTCACGTTAAGATGATGGCTGGCTGTGTAAACATTGTATTGTGTGTGCTACTCAGATGAAAATCTGGCTGATGCAGATAAAACTGACAGAGAGTTATTGATTCTCCTTTAGAGAATAGCCAAGAATATTGCTAAACTTATCCCAGAATCTGAATAAGGTAATCATTATATGCTGTTCATTATTGATTACTTTACAAAATAGGCTAAAGCTTATCCATTGGCCAATACATTTGCATAGGCCACTGAAGATCATGGTTCAGCTCCCCTGAATAAATTCACATAGACCAGGGAGCTAATTTAAACAGCCTGTTATTCACTGAGTTGTGGTGAAGATGTACACTTTGCATGATCATCATCAGGCTGATGTTTAGAAGAATGGGTATTACAAACTATTAAGTAGATGCTTGTGACCAATTGTTTGCCCTAACAGAACCAATTGGGATTATCATTTGCCATTAACCACGGTAGTGTACCACACAACAGAATAGAAATCGACTAATTGTTTGCCAAACATTCTGATATTTGGTCTATAAATATATCTTCATATGATGTGATGTATGTCTACTCCCTAGAGGAGATATCCATTGTCTGTAGAAATATATGGAGTAGTTAAGATCAATTGAAATTAATGAATTTTCACGTCAAGAGCTAGAAAATATTATTCTATGGTAGGAGAGATGCTATAACAAAACACTTAAGGAATTAATGTTTGAGTGAGGCGAGTGTGTGGCTTTGGTATACGTCCACAAGAAAGGTTGGTTTGTCAAACTATGAGCTGCAGCAGTTGCATGGTGCCCATAGGTTTCTTGACAAACTAAAGCCATATGCCACAGATGAATCTCTTATGCAGTGTTTAGATCAGAAATAAAAAGTTGAGAATGATGTATCAGAAGATGGTGACGGTACTGTTTTGAATAATGTAGACTCACGAATGATCATACCATATCTTGCTGATTTGACCACTGGTGTTTTTTGGCCTTCTACAACAGTAAATGCATTTTACTGCATATTATTGTATTTACCCTTTATTAATCTGAGTATATATTGATACATACTGTGTATGGTTGAAATAATTTTAGCTGAAAAGTCTTAGTTTGGCTGAATTTTGCCGATAATTATATATTTTATGACGCCTTTTGAGTGAGTTGTGTTTCTTAGACATAGATGGCAGCACACTACGGTAACGACGTTATTGAGATGTAACTAGTAGAGACAGCCCATCTTAGTTACCAAATTAACAGACACAGATAATCTACTTAACTCTATTATATTAATGTTTGTGGTGTTGCACAAGTATTTGAACGTCATATAAAGCCATTCATGAGTTTTGTATGACACAAATGAATCAATTACACAGAGAAATTAATGTCAAGCATCATATGAATGGAAATGAAGAATGTGAGTGTTAAGGAATGGAAATATAAGATAAACCTTAATTATTTACCTTTGAGGCAATATTTGAAAATACAGTACGTCCAATATTTTCACTAATGCTAGTAAGAGAATGTTTTGAGTTTGACATTGAAATATTTGGCAGGTTTTGGATTTTTGTTGAAGAGATGAGAGTAGTGGGTGAGCTCTCACAATGTTTGAGAAAATACACTTTTACCTGATATTTTTGGTAATACTAGTGAAAGATATTTTTGATTAGATCAAGTCAAATTTTTCACAAGAGGATAATAGTTTTTGCATAAGTAATACCAAATATTAACTTGGTGTATCCTGTGTTCCTTTCTGGTTGTGATTTAATATTATCAATCATGCAAATTAAAATATTTAACAAGCTTGGAGTTATGCTGAATATATATATATATATATTACATTTGTTTCTTAAAAGGGTGCAGTTAACTCTTTCGATATTGGCCCCCTTTTCTGGGCATGCCACGAGGTTTTACTGAATAACATTCAAAATTTAATTGAAATACTTTATTATCATAGTATATGAAATCACGTGAAATCAAAACGTAGCTAATAATCCAAATATTAATATCATATAAGTTTTAAGCTTTATATGGAAATATTTAAAAAAATCCTCAATTTCCTCTAGTAGGACATTTTGTGACATTTGCTCTCTAAGTCTTACCTTTTCACTGATTTATTTACCACCCCTCCAAGAAGTACGAAATTTAACCCAAATTACTCATTATAATATTTTCATCACTCAGGCAAAGTATAATTTTTGTAGCCTTCAATCTTATTTCGTTACAAATCGATAAACTAGAAAATCAGAACCTTCTTGCCATGCCCACCTGTCAAATCCTATCTTTACAAAAATTGCAAAGTTCCCCCTTATGTTTAATACTATATTATTTATAATCAATAGAAAGTCAAGGTTTTAATATATCAAGTGACCTATTATGTTGCTCTCTGTACAGAGAATTGTTTATTTCGATTCCAGTTCAAAGGAAACATATTAACAGCTCTTATTGCATAGTTAAAAAGGAAGAAAAATTATGATAGTTGTAGAAAATAGTCTGCTTTTTACATGTTATCATTCTGCGTTTTAAGGTGCATTATTTCATATAAAAGATTATTTAGTGTATTGGTACTATTAGTATAAAAAGTAGGATTAAGGTTCATCGACAGTTGACAGCAAAAACAAAAGAGATCCAGGCAAGTACTATATTTCTTGTTTTTCCTGTGTATGCTTTATTTATTATAAAAAAAGTAATTCAAATGTAAAAATTAGAAACTGATTAGGCTAGATAACATTAGATTAACTAAGATAATGAACATATAATAATACTCAAAATTCTTCATGAGGTATGCTCACAAGCAGCTTATGTGTTATGCAGTTCGATACAGCAACGTAAGCTACACATTCGCCGAGTTAGAGTTCAAAGAGCAATAAAACCATAACATTTAAGAAAAATGTATAATATTACGAGGTTTAAGGTATTTAGAATCAACAAATGTAGCTTCATGTTACAATATGAATTAATTCTAGAAAGAAAAATAGGATAATATAGATTTATTTCATATTTTTATGGTGGTTACGAGGTCGGTCAACTTGACTAATCTTATATAGAGTTAGGATAGAGGAAATGAGAAATAAAATATAAAGTTTTACTGAAAAATTTTTTTGAAATTTATTTAGGAGGTTTTAGAGATTATGTAAACGAAATTTGACAATTTTCAGACCAATAAAAGTATTTTTAATCTTAACATGAAAATCACTTTGCAGTTGGAGCAGTCAATACTTTGATTCCATATATTCATGGAAAGGTTTTTTAGTGAAAATACTTCTTTAAAAATTCTGATTTTTTGTCTAGAAAAATACTTTAATGGTTAGTGAAAGCTTGCACAATTTCGTGAAGATACTCAAAATATATTAGAAGTTATAGCATGGAAAGTATAAAAGTCAGTTTTAGGCCATGAACTCGAGAGCTTCGACTGAGCCCATAGTGCAGTCTGTGAATATAAATCCAGAGACAGAAAGTAACATCTGCATGATGTTGTTTTGAAATTCTCTTTGCCTTTACGAAACATGTATCCAAAAGAAGTCTAGTGGAAGTGGAAGTCTAAGCTAATTGATTTTCATAGTAGGAAGATAAAGGTTAGTGCTTGTACAGTGGATAGCTTGTTTGAGTTACTTCTGTAGGAACCAGTATTCACAGTTTAACCCCCTTTTATCACTGAACCTTGGCTCTTTTCATAGAGCAACCAAATGATACTGTAAGGAATGTGGATAGGGTAGCTGTGTTACTTGTTGATAACAGCTGTGTGTTGGTCAATTGTGAGTCTCAATAAAGCCTGGTAGACTGGGACATGTACAGGTGCAAGGAATGTATGTACTACAGGCAATATACACGTGAAGGTGTATAAATGACAGTAGAAATTTCTTTAGCACTCTGTGATTAAAATCAATTTTTTAAAACAAATAGTACTTGTGACTGGGCTGTTGCATCCTCAAAACCTACACTTTTAACTAAACTTTTTTACCATTCAGAATCAAGTTAAACCCTATAATTTATCTTAATTCTTCTTGCTATCATTACAAGACAATAAACCATGCCGAAAAGAAAAAGCCTACAAACTGGAACTTTAATCTGCTACAATGTGAGATAAAGTTTTCTTCATAAATGTATATATTATTCTGTTTATGTATCTCTGAAGAAGCAAATATGCTTAAATACACAAATACGGAAGCTGAGTTGATAAAAAAAAATCCTTAAAGCTCATTTGTAGAGTTCTGACAAAACTGTAAGTAAAAAAATAAATACTATTTTCTTCTATGTATCAAATCATTTCTAAAGATATTATTATTTCATCAATAACTGTATAAAAGACTACATAAAAAATAAACACAAAAATAGAAGTTACTCCCACGCCTATGCGATTTATTCAAGCAAGAGAGCATAAGAGTTAAAATCATAATAAATAAATGAAATACATTCAAGTAATATCAGTCAGATCTAATCAGCAGAAAAAGTCTACTGTGGTTGCTATGTTTTTGTGGCTTAGATCTAGAAACAACGGCTGACTGTTCTTTTTTCCTGGCAGATCTGACACTTAATTTTACAACAATAATAAAAGCGACAGTTACAGTTGTCCCTTTCGATAGTATATACCATCGTGTCGTAACCACGTTCACAACACAACAGTTTACACCCTTCAACTCCCATCGAAGTTCTGTTGCACTCTCGACCACGTGTTCCCAAAGAGCCAATCTTCTTGTTGGGTAAACAGTAATTGGGCGATTCTTCAGAGTAAACAATATCTTGTTTTCTTGGATCCTTGATTGTAGCGCCCTCTGGAATAAAACGCTTCCCATCATTTCCAGCCATTACTTTGACTGCACCATCAAACTGCTTTTTTAACAAATCTCCTACTTTTCTGAAATGTGGTAGCTTGTGCCAGCATGTTTTCAGATTGCACGTTCCGGACATCCCATGGCACTTACAAATTATTCTCATACTGTTGGTCACAGCCTAGTTGAAAAGAAAGACACGCAATGAGGAAAGTTTCAAATAATTTAACCTTTTCTAAATGTACTACTTAGTGAATGACGAATTATCTTAATTAAGTTTTGAAAGAAATTAAACTATTATCAGATGTATCTGCTGTAAGCTCAGGCTTGCAGGAAAACCTGGTAATATTCATCGTTGTTCGTCAAGTGTACTAACAACCACCACAAAAATGCAAAAAGATTTGACATACTATCTGTACCTAATAGCTCTTTTTGATCATAAGCTATTTATGAAAATTATGAATTACCAAAAACAGTCGCAAAAAAGAATGAAAAGTGTTAAAATATTACATTAATTTATACTCTAAATAGCTATAAGTTATGTAAAACTCATTTAGTGTTTTTAAGGCCACGTATTCCCATTTCAAAAAGTAAAAGTTACTAAGAAATCAATAGACGATAGTAGCGCCACCTCTCTTCACAGTCATCGATGAAAACTTCAACCTATAGGTTTAATATTTATATTTTATCGTATTACTTCTAACTGATCTTTCTACAAACGTTTCTGGTGATGATTTGTTGGGTGTATTTTGGTGTAACATATTTCATATTAATCTTGTCCAGCTACAAGGCGAAGAAAATTCGTCGTATTACTTCTAACTGATCTTTCTACAAGCGTTTCTGGTGATGATTTGTTGGGTGTATTTTGGTGTAACATATTTCATATTAATCTTGTCCAGCTACAAGGCGAAGAAAATTCGATTATATATATATATTGCCCTGGAGCTCAGTGGCCTCGAACAATATCCAACGTTTCTACTTATAAGCTAAACTATTTTCAATATCTTACCCGTAAAAGAGAGAAAAACTCAAAACAAAACTGTAACTAAGAAATAATAGGAGAGTAAAGCAGGAAGCAGTGTGTTTACTACAACATTTGATTTATATGCTTTTTGCGCATTCAATATTTTTTTCATGAGTTAGGCTATCAGCAGCACCTAACGATCGACATACGGAAGAAACAATTACAGTTTTATTGTAATTTAGTATCAGTTAAATGTGATTGCCAACTACGTACAAAAATATATGTATTTTTTGTTGTTTTACGGGTGTCTTAATAATTCCAATTTCTAAATTTGGATTAAAATAAGACTTGTACAGTTATTCTAGCTAGTGTTATTCACTACATTATCAGTAGTATAATAGTGGTAGGATTAGCATCCATTTTATCTCTGTAGTAGTTTTATTTTTCTTGAATACTATTTCTCCGTTTTCAGTAGCTTTTACACATCTTTGTTGAACAGATGATTCATGAGCATAGCTTTTCTGACTCATACTATTTACCATATTACTTCATCACCTCATAATTACAGCATAAATATCAGATTTTGAAATAACTGGAGCGACCATGTTTATGTTTGTCCTAATTAAGTCTTATCATTCCTGTTTACTGCTACTGTTATGTATTTAATGTTTGTGGACGTATGACAAAATTATCGAAGAACCTCAGAAGTCGAACACTTGAGTTTTAAACCACCTGCTGTAATGAATAAACAATTAGATCATTAACTTTTCGACCACAATCTTCAAAGTCCAGTAGCCTGTCAGTTGTGCGTGTGTTTAAAAAGTTTCCCTCAATTAAATTGTTTATGTTTAGTTATAATTTTAACAACACTGCTTAAGCTTGAAAATCTAAATAATACGAAAATGCTTGTTTATAGTGTAGGAATGTATACACAAGAAATGGTTACAGTTATTAATGAAACAGTATACACTATATAATCTCATTTTTTAAAGTTTAACATGTAATGTCTCTGTTGTTATGTTTGTGGAAATAAGATGACCGATAAAGAAGTACACAGCTAGAGTTTAATATATATATATATTTCCGAGAAAAGTGTCCCGCAAAAGAACCTAGATTACTTCATTTCTGTTAAATCGAAAATAAGTAGCTACTGTAACAGAACTGTAACTGTACCATGTTGTGGTAAATAAAGGTAATACACATTCTATTTATTGTGATTTCTTCACATGTTATAAGGCAAAAAAATGCTAAAATACATATTCCCGAAATGTTAGAACACGCTCTATATTTAGTTTCTGTTATTGTTTTCTGATAATGGGAATCTGTTTGTTTTAGAACAAATCCACATTGAGCTACCTGCTGGATCCGCTGTGGGAATCAAACTCTGATTTTAGCGTTGTAAGTCCTAGACTTACCGCTCCCACTGGGTGTCCCTTATGGATGCAACCTATCACAGCAGTGTTTGTTTGAGATAATCTAATATAGAACTGTTTCCAGAATTGCTCCTGACAATTGAAATACTTTTAACATTATGTTATACGAAACAAAAGCTATGTGTCAATTAGTCAAGTGACACCTTGAATTTTGAGGTCTGTATTTATGGTTCTAATAGCGACGAACTCTTTTAACTGAATATAAGCTACATAATGCTATATACTGTGATTAAAATTGTCAAATTCCTATTAGACTATACGTACTTCCGCAGCTTCCCCGAAAGTGTTCTGTTTCAAGAGTAAATAAAACCAAAATTAAGAATAACAAATATTTTTATTTTTTGCTTTTGAAGTTCATATGTTATGCTGTGTTGTAGCCTACAGAGTGCATAATGTTTCTCGTGATTCATGGTATATCCATGTTTTACGGAAGCCAGGACAGTACAAATTGCAACGTTAAGTGTCCCTTTAATGACGTCATTTTAGTGTCTACTGACTGATTGACGGACAACACAGTACTGTTTAATGGTGCGAGTGGTTAAAAGATGTGACCTTTCCAGGCGACTTTCGGCCCCCTTTCGGTGAAACAACTTATAACTCCATTTACCTCGAACCGAGCGCGGCCTAGAGATCAGTATATCGAATTGTGTTTCCAACCTTCCGTGGTTCGCGTCCCGTAATCGCTAAAAACAATATAAAAAACAAAAAAAACACTCACAATTTGGAGTCATGTGTGCGAAACACCTCACTATTCAGTCTGAAAATAGTAACCCTATAATTATCAGTGTGTGGTATTGACAAACCGCTTTCTCTTATGTCTATCATTTCAAAAGTAAGGGCGGGTGACGTAATAACCCTCGTGTAGCTTTTTGTAAAATTCGACATACAAATGACTTATCTTTCCTATATGACAAAGTGAGCTGTAAGTACTTGACTTGTAGTTTTAGATGTTTGAATTTTGAATGCTTGAGGAATTTGGAATAATAATGCACTGAAGGATTTTTTTTACATATTACCAAAGACAGCAAAATTTAAAGTCACATGATATAATAGAACACGTGCCATAGCTTTCTGATTTGAATTCTTATGAAATTTAAAAATAAAGTTAGGTTTGATAATATAAATGTTTTAATGATATAGTACGAGGAATAAAAAATGTTATATCAAATTTAAATGTCAAAAATACTAAGATTATATCCATATGAATTTTAATTGAAACTTAAAAATTCATTCTAATTTTTATCGGTTGGTCAGAAGAACTCTAATTTCTTTCTAACTAAATATGGAAGATATGGAATGAGATAGTGTGGTTGCTAGACTTGGAAAACTGTTTATCTTATGAACAGCGCTATTTTCTGTTTTAAGAGAAAGCCCATGAAGTGAAATATATACACGTACCTACAGAACTTAACTTATCCAATTAACAAGGACTTTGGGTTAGAGAACAAGCCTATCTAATACTAGGGTCACAAGCTTCTACCTAAAATAAACAGCAGACTGAAGCGTCATGAGAAACGCGTAGAAGACCACAAGGGGAAGTTATCTGTCCACTAAATGATTAAAAGTATATTAACATCACAAAGAAGAACACTAATGTACGATCTTACGAGAAAAACACACTAAAAACCAAGTTTTTGTAGGATTCTATAATAATAATATAGACCTGATAAAAAACGAAACCATTAAAGCATTTTGATACGAGAGAGGTTTCATCTGTAACGACAGAAACAAATATAGCAAACCACAGCTGTGACAAGATGTAATTTTTCTGTCATTCGCACACAACTTTGTAGGAGTAAAACTAACAATATTTTCTATTCACAGAGATGCCAGGAGATATCCTGATGCTGAGCAGGCAGAGTTCTCTGCAACTGGTTATGGAGAGCTATGAAGCTTAGAAGAAAAGGATTGCTTTTCTTTTGGGAAAACTAAGTACAAAACAGAAAACAATAAGAAATGCTATGTTATCATATCAAAAGTGAATGTGATAAATATGACAATCACACTCAACAATATAACAATAGTTATAATACTCAACAATAGAATATTCAGATAAAGTAATTTCAAAGATGAAACAACAACAGTAAAAACAATATATACATGGGTTACAAACAACAGTAACAACAATATATACATAGGTTACAAATGTTTTATTTAGTAGTTAAGGTGAATATCAGATTTAAAACTTGTTGGTTATATAAATGTTTCATTTATTTTACTTACTTTTTTCTATCTTAATAGAGTTTGATACATATATTATTTTTAATATTAGAAATAAACATAACATAAAATGGCAAAACTATATATATGCTTTTCACTTCCTTTGTCGTAAAAAAAATTCAATCTAAATATTGCGTTATTTCTTTCTTGTTCTCCACAGAACACAGCAGCTATTTGAACATTAATTTAGTTTAATAATTAAATATATATATCTTATCTTACAAACTGAATTCGTTTCATAAAAGTTGATATATTCAGTCTGCAATTAACTGATTTTGTCAGGAATAACTTTCTAAAATAGTAACTTTTTTTGTTGAGAAATTAAAGAAAAAAAACCCATCGTGAACTTACTAATCGACCAGCTTCATAGTTATGGGAGAGCAGCATCGCTTTAAAGTCTCTTCTTTTTCTGAACCAGTCATCCAAGAATTCTTTTGATTTCAGATAACCAAACTGGAAATTATCACAACCGGCCCATTCCCATCGATCCGTAATGTTGAGGTCTGGAAGTTTTGTGGGATCGCAGTAACAGGAGATAGAGGAGCCTAGACTACATGCCTTAGTGACGGAAAAAGAAACACCTGCAGATGTAATGGCATTGACAAAGCCGGTCTCTCGCGTATCTGCGAATATTAGAATAGAGGAAAAAACTACAATTTTGGTAGCTTTCTTGATCCGACATTTGTAAGTAACGTAAAATCAATTAATATTTATGACATTTATATTGACCAATTTAAATCGTTTATTTTATACGTATGACCTGAAATTACGAAAGTATAAGCTCTTACAAGTGTTCAATTAACCTATGTTTGTTGACTACACAAAAAGTATATCATGTTCAGTGTTAAAGTTGTCCAGTATAGTTTAAGATGTGTCGGTAATACTCATCTGCCGTCGTAGCTCTTACTATTAACAAAACGGTTACAAATTGTGTAATATTAGTGGTCGATAAGATATGTTTATTCTTGGTTAATTAATTGTAAATATGTTAAGTGATAAAAGAAGAATGCCCACGCAATGTGTAAGCGCGTTGCTACTTTACATAATGCAAAGGCATGCATAACGAAGTATTAAGCCCACTCATACTGGCTCCATAATCAACTGGTGTGCTTTCACACTTGGACGTTTATTTAGTTATGCCAAGTATCAACAGAAACAGAAACTTTTATTGGAGCGATCAAATATTAATAGTTGGTTTGTCTGTTTTTAATTATGCACAAGGACTATCTGTGCTCTGCCCACCACGGGTATCGAAACCCGGTTTCTAGCGTTGTAAGTCCGCAGACATACCGCTGTGCCACTGGGGGGCAAAGTTTAATAGAAGCAGTCGAACAATAACAAATACATCATTTGCAGAATAATTTCAAATATTAGACAAATAAACATTTATATAAAACCAGTCACAAATTAACATAGACATCAATATTCATTACCTAACAATTAATCAGGACTTTTAAACCTAAGTTCTAGTGTTATATGGGTTGACATTTTAACACAATATAAACTGTCGTTATAAAATTAATAAAATATTACTTGTGCATAGTCTTCTGCTGCCGATTAAAGGTCTCAAATATTCAAAATATAATTTGACTGCACGGTTTTTAACATGTATTTAAACAATGGTTTTAATCCCGAAAATAAGTGAACTTTATTTTTTGTTCTGTAAATTTAGACAATGGTATAAAGCCACAATATTTTTTCGAAAGTAGGAATAACAATAACTTGATTGAGAATGCTACATAAAGAATAATTCCAAATATACAAGCTAACTGAATTTATTGAACCAAAAGTTCAGACACTGTTACGGCTTAGTGAACATGACCACTGGTTTAGTATTCAAATGCTGTTTAGTTTAAAATAGTGAAAATCAAGGGAAATTTGGAAAATCATTTACTTTCAAGTGTCACTGTAGACAAGTTAAATAGCCAAGCAGATTAGGCGTAATTAAAACTGTGAGATAAATAACCTGTTTTGATTCTCTATTAAAAAGTTAACTTCAAAGAGTTGTTCTAATAAGCTATACTACTTAGAATAAACAGCTTGTTACAGTTTTAATTTTTTGAGTGAGCTCTTTCTTGCTTTAAAACTTTCAGAACTGAAATAAAAATAAAATGTATATGTGTATATATTATGGATTGCCACAAAGTACATGAAATTAATGTAAAAATTTGTTAAAAGTTCATTAAAAACGTAGTTTGAAAATGAAGCTATGATTTTTTAAGTGTATATTATCCCAGACTTCTAATTTAGATAACATTTAATAAAAATGACATTAATAACTAACCAAAAAATTACCCAATGACTAACTAACTACTATTAGAATAACTAATCGTAGAAGTACTCTTGAATACAAAATAATGAAAGTTTACAGCATCATTGCTGAATCTTGGTATTCAAAAATCGTATAGAAAACTTGATACCTTTGACAGTAATAATGACTGGGCTACCAAAAAACTTATTAGGTGAATAAGAAACGATAAGAAGAAAAGTTTTACTGTTTATTAATTAGCGAGTTGAATAGGACATAAAAAAGTGCAATTGGAGATTTGCTTTGATATTTAGTAGGTTGATTAATGCATAGCCATGGGACAACAAGATAACTTTGTGTTCAGTTGAATAGATAAAATAAAAGAAAAACGCGAGTTCAATGAGCTAAGACACAAAGACTCTGGTGTCCGTTAGTTGGCAGACTGAATATAGACCGAAGAAAAGGAATAAGAATATGCGAGTCTGATGAACAACAAAAATATGAACAAGAGATCTAGTCTGTTAATTAGCTATTTGAATAAGGTATAAGAAAGAGACATCCGTGGTGTTTCCTGACTAATGAGCCAAATAAAACATATGACTAACCTGAGGAATAATCTATAGGAAGAGCATATATTCCCCTACACGTTATATTGAACAATTATTGACTGGTTATAGGGCAAAAGATCATTTTATTGTGTGAAATCACCATTCAATAATTGTTTTGTTCTATCCCAACACTTCTTTTTCAGTTTTACTAAATTTGATTAATTAGCATTTTTACAGAGCATATTTAGCTTACATCCCTGCGTCTACATGTAAACCTTTAAGTTTAAATTACATTGAAGATTTTGATCTATTTTTGAGAATTAAGAATAAATAAATAAGATTTAGAAATAGTTGTATTTTCAACTATAATAGTCCATCATCATGTGATTATACCAATAGAAGGATAAATTACGCACCTGTCTAACTATAGGCGAGAATGTTGGCGATATTTCTGATATTGTTTGAAAATTAAGCCCGAATGAATCAGTGTTTTCACTGTGCTGCAAAATATTGTCTGCAAAATTATTCTGCCTAAACGGCTCTGCAGCTCTCAATCTGCAAGTAACTGAAATCTAACGACACCATATACGTCCACGTTTATCTAAGAGTTTGAGCAAGTTATTTGTAATTAGGCCTAACTGAATTAGCGCGTTTTCAAAGTGCTGCAAAAACTGTTGTATCCAAAGTTCTGCAACGATGGCATGCATGTATGACAACGGCCTTGGCAACCGGGCAACACTGGTACGATTTGTCACCCAGCTTTCAAGGCAATGTTAAAGAATGTTTCATATCTTGTAATGCTCTCTCGGCTGATCACAGCAAAGAATTCATACTAGGGGAGAATAAAGTTTATTGAGGAAGGAAATTCCCCAGAGGCGTCACTAGGCACTGGAACATGGGGCCCGTGTCCTGATTCTATTTGACACTGCCCCGAATCCTCAGTTGGTGTCTTAAAAAATCAGAAAATAGAACCATGATCGATATCGTACTGAAACGTCAAAATTTCCGCGCTTATGAGTCCGAGCACCGAATCTTTTAAGCATCTAGCGACTGTCAGATTTTTATACATATATATATATGGATGGGCAAGAATCTTTACAGTAGATGTCTGTGACCTGTTGGCGATAAATTTCAACAATAAACAAACAATACATAGTTCATTTGTTTTAAAATAGTATATTGAAACAAGTCAAACATATATACAAATCTTCGTTACACAGTAAATCACCATAGTTGCATCGAGACTTTAAAAAAAATCGTCTTTTTTCGTCAATGTCTACACAAGCTGGCTCACTTACTTTAGAACACAACTGATAATACGAATTAGTCTCCTCTGCTCTGTTGTTAAAATACAGGTATCCAGAGCTTTAGATAACTGTCTATTTTGGAAAAGCATTCTGGCGATAAAATTCTGTGTTATATCTATTTTAGAAATTACAGTGGCGTAGGAAGCGAGGGAAGGAGCACTTTTGAATTTGTCCCAGTAAAAATGCATCAAAATTTGGAAAAGTGGGAGAATGTATAAAATCTAATCCAGAATCCAAAAGCTATCAGGGCCCTAAGCCAAGCCCTGGACCCCAACCGTAATGGGTGCGCCTATGGCTTCCCTCGGTCAAATAAACCTTGGGTACCCCCACTTTTAATTTACCTCCTACACCTCTGAAGTATGTCTAACGATAAACTTCAGTTAGCATTACAAACGATATGAATAACAATGTATTATTTTTATAAATAAAAATAACTTTAATAATTTTACTATTGTATTGATTGGGGTTCGCCGGTGGCTCAGCAGTAAGTTTGATGCTGAAAACCGAGTTTCGATACCCACAGTGGATACGGCACAGATAGTCCGTTATGTAGTGTTGGGCTGAAGAATAAACAACGAAAGTATTTATGAATAAGAACTCCCCCTCCCCCTATTTTAATAAAATTAAAAACAACTTTGTTTTATCAGTTTTCTTTATTAATATATTATCCACATCGTGGAGTTGCTAATTGGGCGGGGATTTATGTTGGAATATGTTACATTCTTTAAACAAGTCATAATAAATTAATAAGTGAGCTTTAAAAAAATTATCCAACCACTTTATCTGGGAGATGTCATTTAGAAAGGCAAAAAATAAAGAATGAAGTACTGGATTAGAAGTTTTTATTGAATTCAGGAGAAGAAGACGTCTCGGTCTCTGTGCTCATTGAGTTTTTATTGTAGGAGAGAATGATGTTTGGAGTTCTGTGCTGAGTTAGAAGTTTTAGTTTACATGAAGGTAACGTTTTGGTCTCTATGTTGTGGCTTTCATCAGGTATGAAATATCTTGAGTCCTCTCATTAATATCACAGCTTTTAAAGGTTTAGTAATTCTTTACTCTTGGGGTTTTACAAAGAAGGCAAAGAAAACAAAAGAAATACATACATTGCGGTATTAACAGCCTTTTCTAAATCGAAGCTGAACGAAAATGATTGTATGTTTACCAAATATAGCTATTTTGACTAACTACAAAGAAGTGCAGATAATAATTTTTAAATATTTTTAAACTTTCAGTTAAAAAGTAAATGGGTTACAATTGTTAATGTTAATGTGAAGGAAACGGCAGATTTTGATGGCTTTTTATCTTTCGTTTTGCATTGATTGAATCCAACTCAGAAACCTTTTACATGATGGCCAGAATGCTTCTATTAAAACTGAATATCGTTTAAACGTTCCGCTACACCATGTTTAAGAGTACAATGTTATTACGATTTTTTGTTGTTGTTGTAGAAAGAGTTTTGTTTAATTTTTTGTCATTATATCGGTTTTTATGGTTCAACAAGTCACCAATCTTAAATTGTGAGGACGTAGGCCCTTCAGCAATTTCTTATCTGCGATCTCCCCCTAGTAGCCACTAGCT